CAAACGCACAACGGCTTAGGATTTGTGAACCTACGTCGCCACCTTGTGGGGTAACAGCAGTACTACAGTATGTGCGAGAGCGAGAGAAAAAAAGAATGACAGTAAATTTAATGTCTCTGCTGAAGCCTGATTTGACGGCTCATTAGGAGACTTAACTACCTTCAGGTGTGATTTATTGTTCTTGACACCCGTGAGGATGCTGCCCAGGAAATTAGAAGCACCACTAAACTGCTGTCTGACTAAAACATCCACCAAACAGGATTAACAACGCAATGAAACAGGAACCTGTGCTTCAGCCAATTTACAATTCAAAAGAACTGTAAAAGCTGTAAACGGGCGGGCAAAAGCTTGACTCATATACTGTACCCACGACATACTCACAGACATTAGAGGAGGAGAGTTCCTCTATCAGTCTCTCTCCTTCCAACCAGCAGTTTCTGGGTTTGTTGGTGTTTTGGGTTTGCTAAGTCCGGCTACCTATTTACATACACAATACTCTGCCCATATTCACACACACACACTCACTCACTCACTACACTACTGGTTAATTATCTGTGTGGTCTCCCTTGGTTTGTATGAACTTTGAGCCGGTTCATGACAATAAGCACAGAGGATATTTAAGTTTTTTGCTAAGATTAATCTGGGGTTTAAACTTAAAATACTTTACAACAATGTTTTAACAAAATAATGGAAGATTTAAGACTAATTTAAGGACAAATCATGCAGGATCTGTGGCACGAGTAGGGGCAACTGTATTTATTTAGTCATTTAAGCATGTATAAACAAAGCAGTGGTACACCTAACATTCTTATCCTGGCGTGTGTTCAAAAGAGCAATGCTTCACCAATGTGTTTATCAGATATGACTCATTACTTCCAGGGTTTATAAGCGTGCATCGCAGGATTTATCTTCATCTTTTATAAACTAGAGTTTCAAAAAGGGTTGGAAACATTCTTTTTTTGGGAGAAAGCCTGACTTTGTGACTTACTACTCTATTTATGGTAGAAACATTTAAAACTAATGCCAAGTAAAAGATGTTTCTTTTCGGGGAACCTCTCGAGCTTCTCATCAAATATTTCTTTCACTGTGTCTCCAAGAGTTTGCCCATATTTGGTCTTTGCTGCCGGGGGATCCCCCTCTGCCTCGTAAAAGCTAAAGTTTGGATGGCACGGCAATTAAAAAACAGGCGCGTCAACATTAACAAAACGTGAGTCAAAGTCGGTACAACTACAGTGCTTGACAGGCAGCTTATTATCACAAACACATGAAAGATTAACAGTGAAGTGCCTCATAAAAGCAGAACTGACATCAAACACATAGTGAGAAAGGGTATAAAGGAGCCAAATCCTTGAATGACCCCCTAATATGTGAACCCATATTAGAGCTGCAATCTGTGTCGGATCACCTACTGATGATAGAAGACTGAAGCTGGGAAGTCATAAAAGATTGCTCAAGCTTTTTAAAACAGGCGAGCTTCCGGTTTTGGAAGTACAGCTTTGAACCGGCTCAGAATCAGAAAATAGGCCTGCATCCCTATTAAATGACACAGCTCATTGTCACTGCATTAAAGTAGTGAGTCTCTATTAGAACAAGGCTAATGTGCTCTGCCAGGCACAACAAAAGGACTCTCTTACGTCCACATTTGGCACACCTGTTGACTGTCTTCATTGATTAATAATCACTTGGTATTCAAGCTGTAAACTCACGACTGCTCGGTTATGTTTAAGCTGACAGTTCGTCCACAGCTGCTGCTGAACACACATTTACTTCATTAAAATACTTAAAATAAAAGTATTAAAAGAAGGCTTCTGTTACACATACACTGTGCAATGTGCAAGTTTTATGGGCAAATAATCACTAACGATTGCACCTCTAAGTTTTATGTCTCCAAAGGATGAGGTCATAGAGATAAATTGCCCTATAAAAAGGAATAAATGAACACTTCATTTATGTTTGACATTCAGTTGGCTGTGAAATACATATTACACCTCTACACGCCTAAGGCAATATTTTATCATTCTTGTGGTAAAATGTGTGGACTGACGTAAATTATTCCTAAATAATAGCCTTGTTAAGTGTTTGACATACTCATACACACAAGGTATAATTCTGGTTTAGTCTCATTACCGAACCATGCTGTAGTGGAGGAATGACACTGTGTCTGCATAGGCTGTGCAGTCTCACCTGTATTGCTTAGTGATTACGCTTTTATTTCTGCATCAAAACAACTTGCAGAGTCACCCTTTCTGCCTACGTGGTGAAGCAGCAGTAGAGGCGTATATAATTCTGTTTGAAAAAAGCACTATTATATACAGTCTACTGCTGTTTGTCAGGCTATAAACAGTAGTAAGCAGTGCTGTATTCACTGTCTGCAACCTGTATGCAAAGTCAGTTGCTGTTGGTGGAAAGAGAGAAAAGCGTGTGGATAAGACACAGATGACAGGTGTAAAAGTATACTGGAAGTGCGTGTATTTTCCTTCAACCGATGCTGGCAGCTATCCAAAAGTCAAATTATACCAGCAATTGACCCGCAGGCTGAAATTCCACCTGCGGGAGTCACGAGGAGCTGATGAAAGCCCTGATTAATAACACTGTGCTGTACAGCACTCACTCTCACTGACAGATATAGAAACAGACAGCACGCAGGTGAAAAGAAACAAGCAGAATCCTTCAAAGCGCAGACACACCCTCGCAGCCCCAATGTACCACATGACGGTCATGCAGTCATGCACACAGCCAGGCACGATCAGGTGTTTTCAAAGTCACGATAGCTGCAACACGAGGCTTTTAAAGAGCCAAACTGGACTCAGACAACAGGTACTCACTACAGAAACTGAGACTGAAAAGTGTGCTCTATGAACAACAATTATCCCAGACAACTAGTTGATTTATTTCACAAATAAACATATTGCGCCTAATCGCTGAGTTGTGCCAACTAGGTCTGTTTCAGGTCAGCCAAAATAAGAGCTGGAACTATAAGTTGATTAATCAATCAGCAGAAAATAAACCAACACCTATTTTGATAAATCAATCAATCAATCAAGTAATTTTTGTAGGTAAAACTCTGCTCCTCTCTGTTTTACGTCACTGTAAATAGAATATCTTTGGCTAATAATGCCTCTGCAGAGGCCTTCTTTACTATGCGCTCACAACTGATAGGTGTAAGTGTACTGACTGTTTATCCTTTCATACATACTGTGCTCATTTCAGTCAGTCCTTGCTTACTCTCGATAGTAAATATGGGTGCAGTGCCTGAAAAACCTGTAGACTTCATTATGGCACAGGGCTGGATATTATTAGTCCGGAGCAAAGACTGCATGTATACAGGGAAAGCAGACGGAGGTTTTAAGAGTTGAAAGACTAGTGTCTTAAAGAAAGGGGTAGAGGAGAAGGAAGGGAGACAGAGACAAAGATAGAGAGGGTGAAAGAAAGCAGAGAGTAAAAGAGAGACCAGATCACAGCATGACATGAACATGACTATAAACAAAGCAGACACACACACACACACACACACACACACACACACACACACACCTCTTAAGACTGTTTAGGACAGAGGCTGATTCATGACACGAAAATGGGCCGACGGATAGACAGAAACACATTTACAGAGAAGACATGCAGAGACCATGCGCGCACACACACACACACACACACACACACACACACACACACACACACACACACAGCCATGATGGGGTGCCACAGATTGCTGACAAAAGCCTCCACACAGTACACAGTCCAGCTCTGTCTGCAGCTGAATATGACTAAGACTGTGTCAACATTGAACCAGCAGTTATTGCACCCTCCGTCGCTCCGTTCCTCGAGTTCAGGCACAATCTGAACAGCTGAAAATACATCAACAGTTAGTTTCAGCTCGCCAATGACCTGCTGTGCTGATAATTGAATTAGAAGTATGTTTACTGGTTCGCTCAGCAACTGTTGTTTTAATCATGGAACCGCTCAGAAGTCTTAGCATTTGTTACCAACAGCTTAAAAAGCCATAATATTTAAGAATATGTATTTCAATTATGGGTGCTTAGGTGAGGCTGCACTTCCTCTATACCTTGCAGGAATAACACAACACACAACATGAATCTCTGGCTAAACCAGAACACAGGACAGTACACTGGTAACAGGAGACTGCTGCCCCAACAGCGCTCTCTGCGGCGAGAGTTTATTTATCAGATTTATGCAACACAACTCCCGATCGGGGCCCTCCACTGTCCCTACAGCACAGACTCTGAAAGACTAAAACTGCGTCTTCAAATAGGGCACGGGAGGTTTTTTTCCAGGACGTCGACTCTTTTTTAGATCAACCTTGCATTTTTAGAAACTACCTGCAGCTGAAATAACCACTTTTGAGCAGCAAAACTAACAGCAACATAGGAGTGAGAAAATGTACAGTCGAGGAGAGACGGGGGGGGGTAAAAAACATAACGGGAAAAGAAAGATAGCGTGAGAAAACAACTGAATGTAACCTTACTGACACAAAAGAGTCACATGCTAATGGAAGTGGATGTGTGATGGTAGGGGGTCAACCAGGGCAGTGAATCTGCTGAATCACCACCACCCTCAATGACTCAGCAGCTCCACTGCTTCTATTCGAGCCACTGATGTTTTTACAATGTCCAGTGAGCCGTTTTTCACCTGCTGCCTACTGAAGGCTGACAGAGTGACCTCAGGGGACAGGGCGGCAAGAGAACGTGACATTGGACCTTCTACACTTGAATGAAACCTGACAGAAAACCAGTTGCAGGATGCTGTTACCAGCAGAGATACAGTTACACCATAATCCGTTTGTTTGTTGTTTCCATGATGTGACCGGGGGGGATATTTCAAACTAATGGTGTAATTAAAAAATATTTGACTGTGCTGCAGCCTGAACTACAATGTACCAATAATAACTTCCTCTTATTGTTTCCTTAAAAACCTTCATCTGCAAAACAAATCATACTTTAGAAAAAACAACTTTGGCAGCACAGGCCGTCCATCCTCACCTGTCCTCCTCTCCTTCAGCATGATGAGTCCGGAGGCCTGCAGCAGCAGCCATGAAGGCGCTGGCCTCAGCTGACATCCCCATGTGGGCCAGGGTTCGAGCAGCCCCGCTGGCGTCCGCAGCGCCCTCTCCACCGACTGCTGCCCCCAGCCTGGGCAGACTCAACAGGCCTTGATGCTGGAGCAGAAGCTTCTGGGCGTCCTCCAGCTGGGAGGTTTTTATGGAGCTCCCTCCTCCAGGAACCTGGGTGAAGGTTGCACCCGGGGTGAGGAGGGGTTGGAGTACAGCGGTCAGAGGCATGTAGGTCCCATGGGGGTGTGTTAGTGGGACTGTGGCAGTGGAGGGGGGCTGTGGCTGAAGTTGGGGTTGAGCTGGGAGGGCCTGCGGCTGTCCTGTAAAAGTTGCCTGGGCAGGTGGGGCGACTTGACCTTGATGGGGCAGCTGTTGAGTTATGCTGACTGGCTGCTGTGCCGTAACACCTGGAGCTGGTGTTATGGACATTCCTGTTGTGACATGTGGCGGTGGAGGCTGGACTTGGGTCTGGAAGGGAGCAGTGGGCTGGATGAAGTCTGGCTGTCGAACACTCCCCGGGGCCATAACCCCTGCATGGACCTGAGGTGCAGGGTAACCTCCCTGAGGTTGAGCCTGGTGGGGATCGAACGCATAGGGCAACTGCTGGGGTATTACAGAGGGAGGCTGACTTACACCAGCCTGTGGTGTTGCTGTAGGGAGAGTGAGAGGAGCCCCTGGTTTCTGCATGTGAGCCCCACCAACAACCTCCTGGGGTGAAACATAGGTCAGGGGAGTGGTCTGGCCCAGTCCCTGTGGTGGGCTCTGCATGGCTTGTGGAAGGGTGAAGTCCTGGCTCGGCGGCGGTGGCTGTACAGCAGGTACGCCCTGACTAACCCCAGTGGTACCTGCCTCAGTCTCTGCAGTCACCTCTGGACCTTTTGGTGCCTCAGCTGCAGCTGGTTGAGGAATCTCCTTTTCATAATACTCTGTACAAGTCCACCGTCCTTTGCGGAACGGCTCAGAGTTGGTGTCTAATTTGACCACCCTGAAACGAGAGCCAGTAGCTGTCTGAGTTTGGGTGGGCTGGGTTTGAGTGTTGGAGGCAGCAGCAGACGGACCTGCTCCTACTCCAACAGGGGCTACCTGCCCACTCATGCTAGTGTTGTCAAAACCTGCAGGCCCCGGAGGAGGAACCATAGCAGCAGCAGTGACGGTAGACACATTAGAAAGGTTCACACTGCCCTGAAGATGTGGATCAGTGGCAACAATAGGGGCTACTGGTTGAGTTGTCCCACCTGCAGGTTTAGTGTTGTCCAACACCGGCGGCCTCTGGGATTGGCCAGGCCCCGCTTTGGAAGCCATGGCCGGGCTGGAACTAGCCTTGGGAGCGATGGGAAGAGCTGCCAATGAGGGTTCAGCTCCTCCCAAGCTATCAGAGTGATGATGGTGCGTCTGGCTGTGTTGCTGAGGATAGAAATGATGCTGCATGGTCCCATTTACCATAGAGGTGAGCTGCTGAGACCCCTGAGGTATGGGATGGGGGTTAAGAGGCTCATTGGGTGACACAAGTCCAGGTGTGTCAACCCCATGGAGACTGTTCAACGTCTCATCAGAAGAGCTCCTCTCCGGCACACCTGTATCCGTGGCTCTGGACACGGACACATCCAGCATATCGGAGGAGGAGAGGTCTTCTGTGTGCGACTCATCCATATCATCGTAGCTCTCAGTGTCATCTGCCAAACTGTTGTTGCCACTCACATTAATCTGAGCGGAGGTCACACTTGTTATCTGGAAGCCGCTCTTCTTCTTCACCTGAGCGCCAGCAGCTTGGGACTGGGGCTGGTGGTGCAGGGCGGGAGAAGAAGATCCAGCCTGGGTTGGATTGTCGTCCCCCGTGTTTGCCCCGCTGCCGCCGGCCGTGGACGAGGCCGACGCACCGCTGCTGCCCCTCCTGTAGTGGTACGCAGTTTTCCTGCTCCCCGCCCCAGACGGCTCTCCAGAAAACTCCTGCTGGTGCATCTTTTTTTTTTTTTTTTTCTCTTTACAGCCAAGCAGCTATTTAAAAGCTCAGAAGCGGCTGGCGGCTGTTTTGAGCAACCTACTGGCTCACACAGATGCTAGCTGCGGTACTAACGAGCCATAAAGTGAGAAGTCAGAAGATTTATGTCCTTTAAAAATCAAGTTCAACGCTCCGGGCTGGAGTCAGACTGAAACACTAGCTTCCCCTCTTCTCAACACGCGTATTAATCCAACTTCAGACGGATACAAACACCGTCTTCAGTTAAAGGAAATAAAATAAACAATGCGAAATTGAGCTAGCCGCTGGTTAGCTTAAAGCGGCGTTAGCTTCGCGTCACGTCTTTCAACAACAAACCGCGACTATTTTTTTTGCGGATATTCGCGACACAGCAGCACAAATACCTCCTAAAATAAGGTGCACTCGGGTGGTCTTTACGTGTGAGTGTAAGTGTGGACGCGTCCTTAGCTGGCCGGTGTATGTCGCAGGAAACCAGCCGTCTCATCCACTCCTCTCCCCGGACGTCGAGTCTTCCTTCCTCCTCCTCCTCCTCCTCCGAAACAAAAACCTGATCACAGATAATTAACTCCGTCTACGATCGATACACAACGGCGTCTAAATAATATCCGTCTTTGTAGTGGTAAAAAGTGCTCGCTAAGTCCATGTCGGTGTGTCTGATCGAGTCCGTGTTTGCTGTATCATTGCCGGTGAGGAGGAGCAGCTAACGGGGCTGTCAGTCTCCGGAGGGAGGCGGAATGCAAACACTGACACTGCGCATGCGCGTGTCGGCCTATAGCTTAAGATGATGATGTGGCGTTCAGGCTCAATCATTAAGTTGGAAAGTACAGGATTTAGTTTTTTTAGTACGTTTGGTTGACTTTTGGCTTATAAAAATCGTTTTTTTTTTCAGGTATTCTGACTGTTGACTGTGAGTGGCTATTTTAATGTTGGTAAATTTAACGTTTTTCATTTCTGTCACAGTATTTATTACTTGAACAAAATGTCCTCAGTCAGAGTGTCAATTTTACCATATTTACTAAGTCATTTAAGGCAGCACTGGACTCTGGTTTGTGTTTATTATTTCTTTGGACCCCACTGTCTGGGAAGTACTACTATAAATTAGCTCTATAAACTCAGCAGTATCTATTTACTTTGAGGCCAATCTGAGCATGTGTATTTATTTACACATGAATTATAAACCTAAAGAAACACTGCTCAAAGAAAATATGGTGCATTTCAGAAGTTTCTGCCTCTATTTTGTGTTCAGATAACCTTTTGACAGGCAGAATAACAAGCCAATAATTGAAATGTCATGCAAAACAAGCCCTGACACAAAGACTAAGTTGAAACCAGCTCCTCATATAAGACCAGCTTGTTCCGCCTGTCGGATATAATTCAGCCAGAGGCTACAGGCTCTATATAAACAAGGCTACCATACTAACCCCCCTATACATATCTTACACAGCGACAACAAATCAGATTCTGACCTGTCTGTTTCTGTGCCTGCCTTCTAGCGACAGATTCTCCCGTTAAACATATAACAGCAGGTATGAAGGGCAGAGACACACCTGTCAATGCACTTTCAACATGTCAGCATTACGGCTATTCATAAACACATGCACCTGTAGGGGAGGGCGGACTATGGGAAAGTTCCACTCTGAAGTCTGATTCCAAAGGTTGCGTAATGTTGTAACAGAGGGACATGAGCCATGCTTTCTGTAAACATTTAACCTGAACGTCAAGACTGTTCCTAGACAGCTTCTGCTTCTACTGATGAGAAGTTTAGACAGTGTTCACCGGGGATCATGTCAACCTTTACATACATTTACTTATTGATTCTGATGTATAAAAAAGCAAAGAATCATCACACAACATTTTCTTGTTAATCAGATGTGATTTAATTCTACAGCAGAAATATAGCAATCACAAGAATAGGTGTCTACCTACCTAACAATAAGCGAACAAGCTTTATATATTAAATATATAAATGTCAAGGGAAATGAGAAAATCTTGTTTTTTTAGGATAATTTAAAAGTGTGGAAAAACCCAGAACACCAGATAATGTAATGTAATTTAAAGCATTAAATTATCCCTTTGACAATATTATATAAAATAGTGGTTTGAACGTGTCAGAGGTGTTGATGGAAGTTCAGTGTCATTGTTGAGGTCAAGGTTTATGGTAAGTTTGTTGTATTACATTATATTGTGGGGCGTTTCTGTGATCTCTTCCCCAAAAAGAAAAAACTAAATAACAAACCACATTTAACAGATTAAGACTTCTTACAATGACAAATGGCTGAGTAGTATAGGAACAATCACTGCAGGTCCCTACAGGAGTACTAGAGTGATCCTACAACAGAAAACAAAAACACCACAAGGTACAATTATCTTGTTATGAACTCAGAAGTGACAGATTAAACTTCATTTTTACCACCACTTTTGCAACAATGTTCTTTTTACGTGTTTTACAATTTTGATTACTGCTTTAGTGCTGTCTTAAAAGCTAAACATGCTGAAGAGTTACACAACAAAGTATACTGAAGAATTTAAAAAAGAAATATTCTGCAGTTAGCCTGTGACCCAAATTAAAATATAAGAACCAATAAGTTACAAAATCAAGTAAAAAAACAACAACCCCTCAGTTCCACTGTAATTTCCTGCTATCCTGCGTCTGTCTCTGATGTCAGGTTGGTTGCAGTAGTTGTTGAAGTGTGCACACGGTACGGTACCGTCTGAAGTCAGAAACTGTCCATGCTGGAAGGAAAACAAATATTATTCACTTTTACAAAAAGTTTACTGTGGATTTTGTCCCCCATCATTTAAACCTGTACAAGGAAGGAAGGTATCTCCTAATGTTAATTTTAAATGTTCATGTGGTCACCTGGAGTTCAGATGAAAAAATGTGAAGCTATCCTTTAAACCTGCAGTAGTTGATTGTCTTGGCCACTTGGGGGCAGTGGAAACAACATCACAATCCTATAACAGTTGCTTATTTACTCATCTAACAGTTGCAGAGCAACATAATTTTTTATTTGGAGTTCGCTTCCTGCTGTTGTTGAGAACGATGCTATGAGAACAAAGTGGGTTGGACAGATAAACAATGAACTGAAACTCACCATAAAGCCTTTTAAAGCCAAGTGGAGCAACAATGTTTTTTTCTCAATAATGTGCACTTTATTTAATAAAGCAATTTATTACAGTTCAGAAATGATGCCCTACTCTGAAAATAACACATTCATCTTTGATAATATTATATTTTGTACAATGTGTTTCAGATATAGTGTTGCATAATTTTTCAGATGTTACTTTGACTTTTTGTCCTCTGTGGAAACACTGAAAACCTCTACACTTGTGAAGAGCAGAGTCCAGGTGTGTTTTGATATCTTAGGGATACCCAGTTGTACATCCACTGAGTGGCCGGAAAAGCCTGGTTCTCTAACACCCGTTTATTGGCTCGATGTATACGGATCACTGTAACACAGGCCCACATTCTTTAAATGTTTGCCCTTCACAGAAAATAGTGCTGACATTTTCCCCAGGATGAATAATTACTGTAGACACAGTTGACTGTCTGGTTTATATCTCAATTGTGACTTATTGACAATTTCTCTTAGCAGCTTCTAACATATGAACATCAGCAGAAGCTTTATTATGGAAAGAAATATGACATTTAAGACCCACATTAACGATGTGATTTGTCAGAGGAGAAACACTGACAAACATCCCAATTCTTAAAGAGATACTTCACCTTTTGAGTATAAAGTTCTCACCACCTTCAGGCTTAAAAGGTGGCTCTGAGAAGTTTATTGGTTTGTTTGTTGAACCAAAATTGGCAGCTGTGTTTAACAAGTTTTCATTCTGAAATTAAGAATCAACAAGTCCATAAAAACCTCTCAAATGGCAACATTTATTTTTCTCTCAGCACCTGCATGCTCAGTAAGTTACAAACACAGATTGTTTAGCATAGCAGATAATTTCAGACTGTATGACAGTTTAAACATGCCCTGTGTGAGGCTCAATTCGTTGGCTTTCTATTTCCTTTTCCATATCTCTGTATATGTGCAGGGATGGACTGGGATTAAAAAACAGCGCTGGACTTTGACTAGGCCCGGCCCAAAGCAATCGGCACGCGGAAACTCAACAACAACAACAACAATAACGCCTGGCATGACTGTCACAATAATATATTAATATTAAAAATAAATAAATGAATTAAAATAATAATCTATTCCATGCTATCTTAAAATGAATTTATTACTTAATAATCTTAATTAATTTATGTAGTAATTAATCTAACCACACAAATAATAATACCTCATTTTAAGCACAACATATTTCTTCATATTAGCTACTACTGCATGTGGCATTTTACAGCTAAAATGTTTAAGTTTAGCTGTTTTAACTACTGTAATCATTATTTCATTTCATTTTTTGCATTGTGCAGTGCAACACAAACTGGGTATAGATAAAAATGTAGCAACCTGAATAACATCTCCTAACATCAGCCCTAGCAAGTAACTCTCTTTCTTCCTCTCTCATGTTCCATACTTACTTGCCCGGTATCTGTCCTTCATCATCACAGGTGGCCCTATCATGTTGAGGCTGCACAGCTGTCGGGCTCACTTCTTCACTCAATTGGATGCTGCTAATATTAAACTGAACTTGTGCTCCAGTGGTGCTGCTGAACGTTTCAGTTAGTTTGTGACAGCTGCTATTACTTCTTCTTCTCCTTAATTGGCGGGCACGGCCGGGACAGCTGGCATCCAACTTAAAGGTGCATTGCTGCCACCTACCGTACTGGAGTGTGAAGCAGTAGATAAGCAGGGGGAAAAAAACAGGTGATGACTGCGTGGCGGGTGGTGGGCCGGCCCGCCGGCCGTCCTGGAGTACCGGCCGTTCCGTGATTCTCCAGATCACACAGATGGCCAGTCCGCCCCTGTATATGTGGCATCCTTAGCTGGGGAAAAAACGGAGAGCTCCAGAGAAGCCAGCTAAGCAGGTAGAAGTACATTTTAAGTCTTTGAAGACAAAATGGATCATGAACAGGATCCATCAGCAAGGAGATGCAACCAAAGCACAAATTGTTGATCGCTGATCTGTCTAAATAGTGCACACTGTACATAATTCCAGGTGAGCTTCTGCGTGTAACAAAACATGTGCCCCGTGTGAGGCTCGAACTCACGACCTTCAGATTATGAGACTGACGCGCTGCCTACTGCGCCAACGAGGCATAAAGCAAACCATAAAATCGGTGGTTCTACACAGACTAGTGTTTCAACATTACCCTCAGGTCCCTTTGGTGTTTCAGATTTTCTTCGCTCTGGTGTGTTAACTCCACTGTTTTCTAACAGTCCAAAGTATAGAAGTGTGGAGCACAGAGGGTGGGGCGACAAACAAACGTTTCAATGCAAGGTGTGTTTTTATAACAACATTATATATGCACATACACATGCTACATTGAAGCATGAAGTCTGATGTGTACAGGAAAACCCACTCATACTGACCAATATCTTAATTTTGACTCAATCCACCTTTTAGGAGAAAAAAAATCTGACTGATTGTTTGGTGCCACATGAAATTCAATCTGGAGTTTGCACACAGTATTTTATTTTGAAAATTGACCAGATTCTCTATGCCGTTTCTGACTTCCTGCCAGTGCTATCAGCTTAGCTTTGTGCTGTTTGACACGTGTGAGTCAAAGCTTTCGTCAAAAATAGACCAGCCGCATTTTCATTCATTTTCTGCACAGAGCAGAGCGGAGAGACGCTTCTGAGACTCACTGCAGCGCTTCTGGTGGAATTTATAACATTGCCTTGAACGGTGCAATCAACTATGGCGGCAGACCCTGAACGTGTTGTGGGCATGCCCAGTGGAAATTGGAGGTAAAATTGTGTAGGATGTAGTGGCATCCAGCACTGAAGTTGCAGTTTGCAACAAACTGAATACCGCTCACCTTCAAAGTGTGTAGGAATAAACACGGTGGCTGTGAAACTCTGGCCCTTTCTAGAGCCAGTGTTTGGTTTGTCTATTTTGTAGAAACACCGTGGTTCCACATGTCGGAGTCTGTAGAAGAGGGCCTGCTCCCTCTGTAGATAAAAACAGCTCATTCTAAGAAAACAAAATCACAGAAATGCTTATTTTCAATGACACAAAACATTCAAACACAATTCAAAATGTATTTTAATTGCAACCTTTGAGGTTTTTTTCAGGTTGTGTCTTCCCTACTGCTGTACTTGTCCACTACTATCATCAACATTGCTATATAAATATCCATAATTATTTTATTGACCCCTATTATTACCAAGTAAATGCAACAAAACACGTGCCCCGTGTGAGGCTCGAACTCACGACCTTCAGATTATGAGACTGACGCGCTGCCTACTGCGCCAACGAGGCCTACAAATGACCAAAAATTCATCCATAACAACCACCGATAGGGTGTTTCAGGGTGTTTTATTATTTCTGTCCGTTCACTTTTCCATTCCACCATCTATATAGTGCTCTCAGGTTAGAAAGGCAAAAAGG